ACAAAAAAGCTTTTTTTCACATCTACACTGTGCAGTTATTGTTTTTATGATAATATGCTAACATTTCGTCATTTATCTGGCTGTTTGTGGACAAGCTGTCATGTCCCTGGCAAGTTTCATTTTTGGGAAAATAATTTGTTTAACAGTCAAGTATTTTTAAAAGTAAGGATCAGTAGTGAAGTTGAACTACAAAATACAATGCTTTATTCCAAATACAGCGGTGCTCAAATGCATCTGATTGCATGACAGATGCATGTAAAAAACACAACCACGAACACACACCTGGTGACAGCAGGCAGATGGCCATCAGCAGCACATGTTCCTCCTCAGCCATGTTAAGCTTCTTCAGACCCACTTGAAACTTCACCAGTGGCTCCAGCAGCTCCAGAGTGTGACCCGCTACACACACACACACACACACACACACACAGGTTGGTGACGTCATTGACGCAGTATTTGAAGTCCGGTCCTCCGCAGCTCCAGCTCATGTCCTCCAGACTGAACGACTGATTGGACCTCAGCATAATGATCTCGATAGCGCTGGACTTGAGCAGAGCGATCTGATCTTCTGCCGTCAGGTCCCTGAGACACGAGACACACACACCATATTCTAGATATTTCTCCAAATCTAGAGCTAGAGCTCTAAATTTCTTGTTTTGATTCATTTATAGCTGTGAAATAATCAGCTCTTAATACTTGTGGACTGAAGATCACACACATACTCCAGATTCTTCTCGAGTGTTGTTTGTGCAGAAAGTGCTGTGATGATCTGAACGAGCCACCGGCGGCCAACATTAACACTCGCTAAGTGCCAAATGACAGGAAAAACTGGCTTTGCTAAGTAAATAAAACCATTCATCGCCATTTAACTGCTGTTAGAAGATGGTGGACGTTACACACAGTGTTATTTTAGTATTATTTATATACTATTTATTAATATTTAGAATTAGGTTTTTGATATTTTCAGTTTTCATTGTAGTTTAAGTTTTAGTTTGCCTGTCTTTTTTAGTAGTTTTTTTTTCTATTTCAGTTTTAGTGCTCTCCATGGCAAAATTTATCATTTTCATTTAAGTTTTTTAAATTTTAAGTTTCATCAAATATTTATATTTTATTTTATTTCAGCTTTATTTCAATGAATGAAATCAATCTGTAATTGTTCTGATATTTTCAGTTTTCATTTTAATTTTAGTACTTCAATTCAAACTTATTTGAGTTAGCTGCCATGGCAAATTTAAAATTTTCATTAGAGTTTTAAAATTTAAAAAAAGTTTTACAATTTTACTTTCATCAATATTTATATATATTTTTTTTATTTCAGCTGTATTTCAATAAACGAAGACTATTTTTAATTTTGATATTGTCAGTTTTCATTTTTTAATTTTAGATCAGGTTTTTGTATACTTTTGTAATTTTTATTATTTTTAGTTTTCTTAAATTTTCGTATTTTATTTTATTTTATTTTATTTTATTTCAATTTTAGTAATTTTAGTACTTAAACTTATTTAAATTAGTTGCCATAGCAAAATTTTATATTTTTATTTAAGTTTTCTAAATTTTAAGATTCATCAAATGTGTATATTTTATTTCAGCTTGATTTAAATGAACACATTTTTTTTTAAATAGTTTTCGTTTTAATCAATGACAACACTGCTTAGGTAACATCATTAGGAAGTAGGGTTGCAAAATGGTGGAAAATTTTCAGTCAATTTCAGAAATATTTCAGAAATTTTGGAAACTTTCCAGGATTTTTTGGAATATTCCAGGGATTTTTGGAAACTTTCCAGAAATTTACCGGAAATTTTCCACCCCTTTGCAACCCTATTAGGAAGTGCAACATGCATAGTTTAAACTGAATTGCAAGAATGAAAACCAAACACTCACTTCCTGCCTAAGTGGATGGTTTTTGGCTGGAATTAGCCACAATAGCACTTCTTAGCAGGTCAGAAGAGAGGAGAACGGAGTCTCACCTGAATCCAGGGATCATCTTGGCGAATCCGATGACTTTCTGGATGCTGTAGCTGACGAGGTCGGCGAGGTGCGGTAACATGGACAGGCGTGAGTTGTCCTCCTCGCTGGAGTCTGGACTGCCGCCGCTGTCCTGATACGTCATCAGCAGATTACTGAAGTTCAGCTTAGTGTCCACAGACTCTACAGAGACACCGGAGAGACAGAGCGAGACGTTACGTTACATACCACACACATACACTACCGGTCAAAAGTTTAGGATCAGAACGATTTTTAATGTTTTTCCAGGTGTTTCTTATGCTCATCAAGGCTGCATTTATTTGATCAAAAATACAGGAAAAAATTTAATATTGTGAAAATATTATTATGATGTAAAATAACGATTTTCTATTTGAATATACATTAAAATGTAATTTATTTCTGTGATCAAAGCTGAATTTTCAACATCATTACTCCAGTCTTCAGAGTCACATGATCTTCAGAAATCATTCTAATATGCTGATTTATTATCAGTGCTGGAAACTGTTGCTGCTTCATATTTGTTTTTGGAACCTGTGATACTTTTTTCAGGATTCTTTGATGAATAAAGTTAAAAAGAAGAGCATTTATTTAAAATAGAAATCTTTTCTAACAATATACACTACCGTTCAAAAGTTTTGGGGTCAGTACATTTTCATTCTTTTTTTTTGAAAGAAATTAAAACTTTTATTCAGCAAGGATGTGTTAAATTGTTAAGTAGTGATAGCACAGATTTATATTGTAAGAAAAGATTAATATTTTGAATAAATGCTGTTCTTTTTAACTTTTTATTCATCAAAGAATCCTGAAAAAAGTATCGCAGTTTCCAAAAAAAATATTTGGCAGCACAACTGTTTGATAATTCTAATAATAAATCAGCATATTAGACTGATTTCTGAAGATCATGTGACACTTTAATAGTGGAGTAATGATGACGGAAATTCAGCTTTGCATCACAGAAATAAATTATATTTTAAAGGATATTAAAATAGAAACCATTATTTTATATTGTAATAACATTTTGCAAGATTACTGTTTTTTTCTGTATTTTTGATCAAATAAATGCAGCCTTGATGAGCAGAAGAGACTTCTTTAAAAAACATTACAAGTCTTACTGATCCCAAACTTTTGAACGGTAGTGTATGCCACAAGATTTTAGCTGTGACTAGATGTTTCTTGCCTCATTAGATCCTTATTTTACAATAGTATTTATTCATATTTAGAATTAGCTTTTATTTTGATGTCTTCATTTTCATTTTAGTTTAACTTTTAGTATACTTTTGTCATTTTTATTAGTTTTTTGTTTTCTTTTTTTTTATTACAGTTTTAGTTTTAGTACTTTTACTACTTCAACTTATTAAACCTATTAAACTTAGGTTAGTTGCTAAGGCAAAATGTAAAAGTTTTTTTATTTTAAGTTTCATCAAATATTTATATTTTATTTGATTTCAGCTTTATTTCAACGATTTAAATCGCAATCAACGATTGCAATTTTCAGTATTCATTTTAATTTTAGTTTAAATTATACTTTTGTCATTTTTATTAGTTTTTGTTTAAATATGTAGTTAACATTTTTGTAGTTATATTTTTATTTCAGTTTTAGTAAGTTTAAGTACTAAAATTAAGTTAGTTGCCTGTGACAAAATTTTAAATTTCCTTTCATTTTTTAAATTACGTTTAATCAAATATTTATATTTTATTTAAATTAATTACATTGTTTTGATACATAAGTTTTAAACTAAAATTAAAATGACTAATTCAATGTACAGTATGCTTCATGTGTCCAGAAATGCATCAGTGCATGCATCAAGGTGAGTGACTTTTGCATTATCAGATGTTTTTTAAATATTTTATATGATTTAACTCATATAGCCAGAGTGTGTTCAGGTAGATAAAGATTTCTCAAAATCATAGAAGGGTGAAAATTTGTGATGTGCTTGATGGGTAACAGTTTGTGCAAAAACATGTTGATGATTTTTTGGTGTTAATTTGAATCACTTTTGTTGTGACATTCTTGCCGTGAACAGACTTTTAGAGACTTCAACAATGCAAAAAATTAAGTTTGTCTTTAGATTTCAATTCCAACCCATATCTTTAAAAGTTTTTTCTCCACTTCAGCAGCACTTACACACACCAGACTTAAGAGTTTTATTCCTCTCTATATTCTGAAGGTTTTTACTGAAGCGTTTGTTCATATATCACTCACATTGATTTATACAACATTTTATTCCTAAAAACACTGTGAAAATCCATATCTTTAAAGGGACCATGAGTTTTTTCTCCGCTTCAGCAGCACTTACATACACCAAAACTTACAGTTTTATTCCTCTCTATATTCTGAAGATTTTTACTGAAGGGTTTGTTCATATGTCATTCACCTGAGTTTATTATTGCACTTTATCTATTTGCATCTGTAAATTTCAATTACAATCCATATCTTTAAAAGTTTGTTTCTCCACTTTAGCAGCACTTACATACACCAAACTTAAGAGTTTTATTTCTATCTATATTCTGAAGGTTTTAATTGAGGGGTTTGTTCATATTTCAATCAGGCTGATTTTTATAACATTTTATTCCTAAAAACATGGCGAAAATGTGTTTTTTTCTGTCTGTTGATAGTATTCTCTTATTTACAGAGTGATAAAAAGAGATATCCAAAATCCCCTCTGTAGAAACCTTTAACTCTAATGTCAACAAAATGCCTTAAGACATTAATTCCTGTTTTCTGAAAAAAAATGATCAAAAATAAGTTTATGCTTAAAACAAGGCAAACTTTATTAGTGGGGTCAGAAAAAAATTATTTATTATTTCCCTTTGAATTCAGTTTATTTTTCTCATTTCAAGATCAACTGTTCAGAAAACAAGACTTACATCTTCAGTAATTTTGCTTCTCAAATAAATGTATCTTGATTTAAGAATGTTTAGAAATTTGTGCTGGAAAACAAGACAAGTAACAAAATCATTGCAACAAAAAAAGTGGGAAAATTATGTTTTCAAGTTGTTAGAAACTAACATCTCACAGAATTAAATATTCCTATTTAAATGTATTTTGGGGACAAATTTGTGACCCTATTTAGATTTAGCTTAGTGAGTGTGTGTGTGTGTATGTGTGTGTGTGCGTGTGAGTGTGTGAGTGTGTGAGTGAGAGTGTGTGTGTGTGTGTGTGTGTGTGTGTGTGTGTGAGTGTGAGTGAGTGAGTGTGTGTGTGATGTGCTACATTTCATAAATAAAAGTTGTCGTTCGTTTTACCTTTAATACTTAAGAATATTAAAAATGTAGTACTTCCTTGTACTCAAGTAAATCTTTGAATTACTTTTACTTGAGTAAACGTAAGAAAGTAATAGATTTCTAATTTAATTAAGCATGAAATGATAATTAATATGAAACGTAGTGCAGTAAAAAGTACAATATTATGCTTTGGAATATTGTGAAGTAAAATTTTCGAAAGAAAAACACTCTGATAAAGTACAGTACAAAAAAAAGTACAAAAGTAAAAGTACTTTTACAGCAAAGTAAAAATACTTCACTACTGTCCACCTCTGTGTGTGTGTGTGTGTGTGTGTGTGTGTGAGTGTGTGTGGTGAGTGAGTGTGTGAGTGTGTGTGTTTGTTACCTGGTGAATGGTTGAATGAATCTGATGAAGCGTCAGACAGAGAGTGAAGAGACGCGGCACGACTGGCGCTGCGGGTGACTGGACCCTCACGGACCGGAGGCTAATCACACAAAAACCTGATATTACAAACTATTACACAAACACTTAGAGAGGAAAACCACAGGATGTGTTCAGAACAGAGTCTCCATTAGAGAACACAACAAACATCAGAAATAACTGCACTAATAAAACATCACAGTGTTCAGAGAGATGAAGGTGAACTCCAGCTCAGGTTTCACGAGGAGAACTAGAGCTCAAATTCTGCTCGTTAATGAAATGACTGTAAAAGGAGAGTCTTTAGTAACTACATTAACATACAGACACATGATCTACAACAGATTCAGCCTTTACAAAGAAAATAAACTCCATATACACGTATTAAACTCATATCAGAGTCATTAAAGTCCAGAATAGCAGCAACACAATTGGTTGTAAACGTGTTTGCTCGTCAGTAATAATTTACGAAACATCAAATCAAAATCACAGAATTAGTCGCAGCTTTTTCATCAAAACAAAACAATAATTTACCTAGTTATACCCATCCCTGCCAGGTTCTCTGTTTATTTGTAATGCCTTACAAACCAGATCGCATATTAGATAGATTTAATTTATTTTGGTAGATACAGCTAGATGATTATTGTTTATTTATGCACTTATGAAATACTGATTCTATTGTGTTTTGTTTTAGATTTTTTCCCCCCTTTAAATTTTAGAGTTTAAAGATGTGAAACAGAAGAAACACACACACACACACACATACACACACACACACACACAAAAGATATAGAAAAAGAGTTTACTGTTTGAAATGGGAAAAACCAAACACTTTCTAAACAAGCTGATGCAGAAAAGCTCATATAGCACCGTTTAAAAGTTTGGGTTCAGTCATTTTTTTTAAAGAAATTAATACTTTTATTGATCAAGGCTGCATTAAATTGATCAAAAGTGACAGCAAAGACATTTATAATGTTACAAAAGACTTCTATATCAAATAAATGCTGTTCTTTTGAACTTTCTATTCATCTGTGAATCCTAAAAAATAAAAAGTATCAGTTTCCTCAAAAAATATTGTGCAGCACAACTGTTTTCAACATTGATAAAAATCAGGAATCTTTCTTGAGCAGCAAATCAGCAAATTAGAATGATTTCTGAAGATCATGTGACACTGAAGACTGGAGTAATGATGCTGAAAATACAGCTGCGATCACAGAAATAAATTACATTTTAAAATATATTCACACAGAAAATTGTTATTTTAAATTATAATAATATTTCACTGTTTTTACTGTATTTGGGATCAAATAAATGCAGCCTTGGTGAGCAGCAGAGACTTTATGAAGGAGTCTGAACTGACCCTGAATCGGACGAAATCGGAGTAGGAGTCGTCGTAGGTCTTGTGATGCGCCTCCACCAGTGTGTTGATGATCTGCATCTGCTCCTCGCTCAGACGAGGTTTCCGCGCCTCCCGCGCCGCCTCCTCCTCCTTCCTCTTCAGGATCAGCTCCTTCTTCCTCAGCACCTCCTCGTCTGTCAGAATGACTGAGACACAGACAGAACCAGTTAGACTTCTGAAGATGCACAAATGACGAAATAAAACAACATTAACTGAAATCAAACAAAATATAAAAAAACAGCTAGTTTTATAATAACAGCTATTATTTCCAATCTCCATTAAATTTAAGCAGAAGTAGTAAAATATCTATAACTGAAAACAAAAAAAAAGTATATATATATACTCAGTCGCAGAAAGACTGAGAACGGGAGGCGTTTCAGACGCGCGCTCCACTTCAGTTTAGCGCCAGGCGCGCGAGTCAAACGAGAGCGGAAATGGTACTGTGCTCGCAGCGCGTGCTCTTCAATTGCACTCACAAAGGCGCCGGTGCGCGCTATATCCTGTATCCTTTCATATCAAAGCGCGAAATAAACTACGTGCATGCAATGTCGTGGTCAGTTAAGTAATGAAGTTACCAAAAAGGCGATTAAAGCTGCCTTAAAACTGTGCATGCATGTAATATATTTTACATGAGTCACATATAAGAACATGTCTCTGAAATGGTTTTCAAAACTGTCCTGGAGCAGCCCAGCACTGTCTCACTCATCTAACACACCCGATTTAACTCGTCAGCTCATTAATAGAGACTTTAAGACCTGAAGTGGGTCAGAAAAGGTAAAAAGAGTTGAGAGAAAATATGATGTGTGTCAGATCCGCGTCACGTTCAGCAGCGGCAGCTCTTAAAGTAATAGCAGCCAAAATAACCTTATAACCAGCCGCTGTGATGTCTATTAATCAAAGGACAAAAAAAAGAGGAAAAAATAACTTTTATAGCTTTAAGGATTCATCTATATTTAATTTAGAATTTAGTGTTTGATAACTTCAATTTCAATTTCTGTATATTTCTGCTGAAGGGCACAGGTAAATATGACATTTATTATAATGGGTTTATGTGAAGATTGTTTTAAGTTCACTTAAATTAGAAGTTATTTTTTAAAGTCTAATAAATGTTCAAATTGATAGCTCTCAATTATACTGTGGGGGGGGGCAATTTAATAGAGAAATAAGTATTGGTATCATTGATACTGGCCTTCAGTCATAAAAAAAGATGCCATTAAACAAATATTTAAAAACCCAGCAAAATTACTAAACTTAAAAATGGAAAAAATAAAAATAAAAACAAATGTAAATATTAATATTAATAAAAAGTAATAAAAACTATATGGACATGGGTTATAAAGAAATGACAAAAACACACAACAAAATTACTAAAGTTAACACAAAATGAAAATGGAAAATACAAAAATAAAACCAAATTCTAAATATTAATAAGCATTTATAAAAACTATACAAACTAATTCAAGATATTAAAAGAATAAAAACCATAATAAATACTACAAAAAATTATAATAAAATAACTTTAATAAAAATAACACTGTCAGTAACGATAATTTTTCCAAACAACCATGTCAACACTGAAGTTCCCTTTCAGTCGGTCACTATGAGTCACGTCGTGACCGACGAATTGGGATATCGCTTCGATAGACCAATCTCACTTCGAGAGATCAATCTACTTCGAGTGTAAATGGCATGCGATGATTGCAGGTGGTAGCAGGTGCAACGCATACCAGCTTTTCGCTTCGGAGTCGAGCGATCACATCGTTTTGCTCCTGACTACTCTACTGAGAGAAGAAGACTGAACGAGTTCAGCGTGCTCTTGGAGAGCTCTTCGTGTTGGCGGTACAGCGCTTCAGCGGTGGTGGTTTCCCATGCC